GGTTGGTAATTGTGTCCACCCAAATTTATAACTGTGGTCATCTGACATTCTTTGATGAACAACGTAAGTCTTGACAAGATTGGCACAAACTGTGATGGGTCAACACCACATGCACAGTAACCTAAAAGAACCAACATCTCAATATATTTTATCTTTCACAAATGCAGCTGTACAAAAAGGACATGTCTTCATTTACTGAGAAAGTTTTAGCATTTTTTTGTACACATACAATGCTTGCACACTAAGTCAATGTTGTTATAGTGCACTTTTTTGTAGGCAAATTTGCAAAAAAAATGCATAAAATGAATTATAACTCTCTGGAAGTCTCTATACAACTTGTACTTCCAGTATACCATAGTAAAATATTTTTTAAAATGCTGATCATTTAAAATAGTTGAAAAAGACAAAAAAAAAAAAAAAAAGAAGAAAAAAACACAAAACCTTTTCACATGCCTGTTGGCCATCCGTATGTGTTCTTTTAAGAAATATCAATTCAGGTCCTCTGTACATTTTTTAATCAGGTCATTTCTTTTTGGCTATTGATTTTGGTTTCTTATATATTCTGGTATTAGCACCTTTCCAGATACATGGTTTGCAAGTATTTTCTATCAATCCATAGATTGCCTGTTCACTCTGTTGATTGTTTTTATACTGTGCACAAGATTTTTAGTTTGATGCAATCCCACTTGTCTAGTTTTGCTTTTGGGTTCATAGCCGAGAAATTATTGTGAAGACCAGTATCAAGAAGCATATTCCCTATGCATTCTTTTCGTAGTTTTACAGTTTCTGGTCTTACATTTAAGTCTTTAAGTCATTTTGAATTGATTTTTGTATGTGGTGTGGGATAAAGGTCTAATTACAATCTTCTGCATGTGGATATTCAGAGACTATCCTTTCCTCATTGTGTATTCTTTCCCATGTCAAAGATCAGTTGACTGTAGATATATGGATTTATTTCTGGATTTTCAATTCTGCTCCATTGGCTTTTAGGACTTTTTTTATGCCAGTACCATGTTGGTTTAATTGCTGTGGCTTTGTAATATTTTGAAGTCAGGAAATGTGATGCTTCCATCTTTGTTCATCTTGCATAAGATTATTTTGGCTATTCAAGGTCTTTGTGGTTCCATATGAATGTTATTATTATTTCTGTAAAGAATGTTATTGGGATTTGATAGAAATTGAATTGAGTCTGTAGATCTCTTTGGGTAATATGGACATTTAAACAATACTGAGTTTTCCAATCCATGAACACAGGATGTCTTTCTATATCTTCTTTGTTTTTTACAGGTCTTTTTTTCTGTGTTTTCTGTAAATTGCTTTATCAATGTTTTATAATTTTCAATGTACAGGTCTTTCACCTCTTTGATAAGTTTACTCCTTAGTATGTTATTATTTTTGTTGCTATTATAAATGGGATTGTTTTCTCCATTTCCTTTTTTGGATAGTTCATTGTTTATATATAGAAATGTTACTGATTATTGTATGTTCCCTTTTTTATCCTGCAACTTTATTGAATTCATTTATTAGTTCTAAGAGATTTTTGTGGATTATCTAGGAATGTCTACATATATGTCATTTGCAAGAAGAGATAATTTTCTTCTTTTCCAATTTGGATGCCTTTTATTTATTTTTTCTTATTTAATTGTTCTGGCTAAGACTTGCAGTACGATGATGAAAAGAAGTGGTAGAAAGAGACATCCTTGTGTCTTAGAGGCAAAGTTTTCTATTTTTTTTCATTGATTATGGTATTGGCTGTGGGTTTTTGATATGATGGTCTTTATTGTGTAAAGTAAATTGAAGTAAATTCCTTTTACACCCGTTTTCTTGAGAATTGTAATCGTGAATGGAAGTTAAACTTTGGCAAATGTTTTTTCTCTGTTGAAGGCCCTTTTTTTTTTTTTTTTTTTTTAGTAATATGGTATATTACACTGATTTATTTTTGTATGTTGAACCATTCTTGTACTCCAGGGATAAATCTCACTTGGTCATGGTGTACAATTGTTTTAATTTGTTATTATATTTACTTTGCTAGTATTTTATTTATGATTTTTGCATTGACATTCACTAGGGATTTTGGCCTATAGTTTTCTTTACTTGTAGTGTCTTTGTATAGTTTCAGTATCAAGTTGATGCTGGCCTCATAAAATGAGTTTGGAAGCGTTCCTACTTGTATTTTTTACAAGAGTTTAAGAGAGTTGGTAGTAATTCATCTTTGAATGTTTGGTTGAATTCAACCATGAAACCACCTGGTCCTGGGCTTTTCTTTGTTGGGAGGTTTTTCATTACTAATCTAATCTTGTTTTTCTATTGGTGTGTTTAGCCTTTCTATTTCATCTTGATTCAGTTTTGGTAGCTTGTAAATTTATAGGAATTTATTCATTCTAGGTTATCCAATTTGTTGGTATATAATTGGTCATAATAGTTTCTTATGTTTCTGAGGCATCTGTTATAATGTTTTCACTTTCATTTCTGATTTTATTTATTTGACTTCTCTCTTTTTTCTTGATTAGTGTAGCTAATGGTTTTTCAATTTTGTTTATTTTTTCAAGAAAACAACTCTTGGTTTTGTTGATTTTTAGTTTTTTATTCTTTAATTTATTTCTACTCTTAATATTTATTATTTCCTTCTTTCTGCAAACTTTAGGATTATTCTTTTTATAGTTCCTTGAGGTATAAAGTTAAGCTGTTTTTTTTCCAGTTATTTCTCCGCGTAATGTATTTATTGTTATAAACTTTTCTCTTATTACTGCTTTATGCTGCATCCCAGAAGTTTTTGTAAAGTGTGTATATAGGTTAGTTGGTTTGTGAGCACTGAGAAAGATATGTAAAGATACACAATAAGTCATTAATCTTGGCTGTTAATCTTGACAGTTCAAATTGGAGGCAGTAGTGTTGGGAAGCAGTCTATTAACTTTTACATTATGCATCTCTGAATGTTTGGGTTATTAAAAACAGCACTGTTATTTTCATATTTTAAAAAACATAATTCCTAATGATATTGTAAAAATTAAACGGCTGAAGGGGCTATCTTTTTTAACTTCCAAACTCTTCATACAAATGAGAACATTAAAGCTATTTTGGACACTTTATGTAGAGTAGGTTCACATAGATAAAAAATATGTTATCCCAGATGACTACTGAGAAACAGTTTTCAGCCAGTGCTCACCAAATATCTTCAAAAGCAAGAATGGAATGAAAATCAGGAAATCAAAGATGAGGTTACTTATTTCAAAATGCTCAATTATCACAGACTTTGTATATTCTAACACATGAACACTTCCTCTATTGTACTGCAAGCTCCATTAAGGCTGAATTATTTGTCTTTTTTGCTACTGTATCCCCAATGCAAAACTTAGTTCCTGATATATAGAAGACCGTCAATAAATTCTTAGTAAATGAATTAATAAATGCTTATTTTAAGATTGATATTTAACTGCCCATTTAAAAAATAGCAGTTAAAGGGTTGATTATTGCATTAATTGCTCTGTTCTGGGATATCTTATATTTGATTCCAGTTTACAGAACACCTTACCATTACCTCTGTTCAGCCTGTGATCATGTGGCACTGTTGTTATTTTTAGTAGATCTGTCTCCCCAGTAGGACTGTGAATTACTCAGGGACAAAATCTGATTTCTATTCATTTTTTTCTTTATCTCAGATAGCAACAAATTTAGTAAATTCTATTTCAGTAAATACAGTTATTTAAAATGTTTTATTTTTTCAGATTATTCTTTCTAATAGCATGACTCCAACAATAATTTTACTTCACAAAAACAAAGTTCATTGATTCTACTGTTCACTATTCCTTTGATATCACTTTGATCCCATGCCCATCTTCAATTTTGTGGTACATCCTTATTATCACTTCACTTATTCCCTTGCATACGCCTTCAACTTATTTGTCCTACTTTTCTTTGAAATTCTCATATACTCTCTCTACATTTTCTCTATGGGATCCATTTAATTCATAAGACTTTAAATTCCATGTGTATGCTAATGACTCGAATACTGATATATCTTGTCTGAATTTTCCCTGAAATTCAAACTCATATATCCAACTGCTTACACTCCATCTCCACTTGGATGGCCATGATAATCTCAAACGTAACATGTCCAATACTAAAATTATTCTCTATCTTCACCTCCATCCACTCCTCTAACAGTTTTCCCCATCTTAGTAAATAGCAATTCAGTCCCTCTAGTTACTCAGTTGAATCACGACTTCTTTCTTTCTCTCATGCCTAATTTCTGATTCATTGGCCAGTCTGGTTGGAGCTGAAGTCAAGACATACCCATTATCTATGCTCTTCTCCTTGTTTATATTCTATAATCCTGATCCAAGCTACTACTACGTCTCACCTAACTACATGTAAGCTCCCCCTTTTGCTACATCCCACCTCCCTACATGCTAATTCTTAATATAGCATTGGAGAAATTTGGTTAAAGCTCAAGTTAAATCATGCCACGCCTCTTCTCAAACCCTGCAGTAGTCTCCCATTTCATGTAGTTAATATGGCTACTTGCTACCTCTTTGACATTACTTTATACTTATACTTCTTTCTTCCCTTGCTCCCTCAAATCCAACCATGTTTGGGCTGATTTGACTTGCATAGAAGGAGTAGAAGTTTAACTTAAATGAATCAATGCTGATTTATGTGAGGAGACAAATCAGCCTTCAACATAATTGAAGCCATGCTGGATTTTATCTGAAGAAGGCTTATACCAACAAGACTTCTAGCAGTCATCTCAGAAACTTTTTCTCAGGGGCCACAAAGGTCTTTAAAAATGGGAATTATGTTTCTCAATCTAATAGTATGACAGAATCAATCTAGGAGGCTTGCATATATCTTTTACTGATTTTTTTGTGTGTGAAACGGTTTTATTAAGAAAGTATTTTTTTCTAGAATATAGTTATACATAGCCACTGGAAGTTGATTAATTGAAATTTGGAAATGATAGCTATAATTTTTGAATGTTAATTTTTCAATGTTTTATTTAGGCCAACATTTTCAATCACAAAAGAATTCATCTTGAGATTCAATCAAACACAAAATTCCAAAGAGAAGGAAGAATTGTTGGAACTAGCTAGAAAAATCATTCTCAGATGTAAGGTAATGGCATATCATTGGATTGTTCATCATGTTAACTTCCTTTTCTAGTTGGTACATGATTACACATTCTAAAATATTGTAAGAAAAAATAAGAATACATCTTTCTTTAATTATAAGTAGGGATAGTTAAAATATTAATGCAAATTAAAGTTAAAGCTTATAACCAAATAATAAAAGCTCCTGTAAATTTTTGTGGAAATATACCAGTCCAGGAGCCCATAGCGAAATGTTAAGTCTGGCAAATAAATTTTTGATTATGAAAATTCTATTTTTTTCTTAAAAAGTTAATGGAGATATGCTGTGTCTCAAAGGAGAAAAAGGCCTTTCTAAACCTTTATATATATGCATGAAGTACTCTGTTCTTTCTCTGTAACAAACTATTCTTCACCTGAATTGTGAAAAATATATTCTTTAAGAATATGACATTAATCCCCAAATTTACAAATAGATATCAAAATAGAACAGGAAGTAAAGTAAGTCCTTGCTTTTCCTTTTCTACATTGGATTCAGTTTAAATTTTACAGAGAAATAACATACATATTTTGCTTTGATATGAATAATTCATTAAATAAAAGCTGCACAAAACTGGTGCATAAATTAAGCCACCTTTTTTGTGGTGTTGTAGTGGTTGTTATTTTCCAGTTCATGGCTGCCCATATATTTGAACATTTTGAAAACAATTTGATTAGAAAAAGAGTATACTTTTGATAAGTGTATATGCAGACAGGTGCCAGGAGGTGCATTCATCAGTGAACTTTTCTCCAATTGAACAAGTGTTCCCTGCAACAGTCCCAGGAGTGGGCACAATAAGGGAAGTGGAGCAATCCTGATCATCTCCCTCATGTTCATTAACTTCTGCACATCAACAATGAAGTAACCAGGGTTTTCCAGCAAACTGGCATCAAACTCGCTTCAGTTTTATCACATTTCTTCAGTGTTTTTCCTCATAAAATAAAATAAAAAAAATGCATTCTCTTGGGGAAAAATTGGAAGTAATCACTAGAAAGTAAAAAATGAGAATTATTTTCAGCAAATAGCTAATGATATTACTTATAGTATCAACATTTTTTACATCTTAACACTAATACAATTTGCATAAAATCTCCAAAAATTTGAGTAATAAAAGCAAAAACATAAAATTGTGTACAACTCTGACCACCGAGCATTAGCTTCATAGAATGACTTTTGGAACACAATTAAGAGTTAAAAATTAATAAATATGTAAAAAGATGTACATTTTAATTTGTCTTTTTTATGCTTCCTCATAACAGAGAAAATTGGGTCTCAAAACCCTGGGCTCTGGGAAGCATGTGCATCTTCCTGCTGCGTGGATTGAAGTAATATATCTGGCTCAATGCAAAGGGGAAATCCAAGATGGTATGTACTTTAAATTCTTATTAGGTATCCTAAGCATTTTCTAGATTATCAGTGAAGGCATAATTTGAGAACTTTAAGTTTTAAAAATTGTGCAGAAGACAAGAAATTCTTCTACTCTATCGAAATACATTTTATTTTGAAAATTCATTTTGTAATTTAGAATTTATGATTTTAACTACTTAGCTTTTTAGTGATAAAATTATTTTCAAAACTTTACTCAGCATAGTCTTTATTACTTTTTTGCTAAAATTAGCAACTAATTAAAAACTAATATAAAATGTCATTTAGTGATTTCCAATTAAAATAGGCACTAGACTTTAGAGAAATTTGCTTCTTCATTTTATAATTATTACTTATAAAACATTAATCAAATGACCATTTGTTTTCCACTTATTTTAAATAGCAAGCTTTACTCATTACCTTTTCATTTATCACTCCTCGTTTATGCCTCCTTTAAAACATTCTCTAACTAATCTAAAAATAAATTAACATTATTTCTAAGGGGGTAAAATTCCTTCCATCACTATTGTTAAATTGTATATATATGCCTTTTAAAATAGTTTTAGAATGTTAACCACATGAGTTCAGAGAGAATTTCCCCCATGTAAATTAGGTTTTGTAGTGCTATCTAGGAGTTTTCAAGCAGCAGGAAGAATTATTTTGTATTTAACTTGCCTTTATGGTCCTTCATCACAGTGCCATCCACAGCCTGACCTCTATTAATAATTTAAATGATATTGAGGTAAACACTCTTGGTTTACCAGCAAGAAGAGGCTGTTTGCTCTTCATTGACAATTAAATTTCAGTTTTAATTAGTCATGTGATTTAGAAGAGGACTGGCCCTTGCCCAACCCGACGGGGGTGAATCATGGATGGTCTAAATCAGAGGTCCCAAAACCCTGGACCATGAACTGGTACCAGTCTGTGGTCTGTTAGGAACTGGGCCGCACAACAGGCTGTGAGCAGCCAGTGAGTGAGCATTACTGAGCTCCACCTCCTGTCAGATCAGCAGTGACATTGGATCCTCAGAGTGTGAAGTCTATGGTGAACTGCACACGTGAGGGATCTAGGCTGCGTGCTCCTTATGAGACAAAGCCAGTCCTTGGTGCCAAAATGGTTGGGGACTGCTGGTCTAAATCAATTACGGTAATTCCTTTTCACTTGCCAGTGATTTGATTAGGGTTAGTCACATGACCTGATCCTCAGCAAAGTGATGTAAAGACAGCTCTATTTCCCGTACTTTTTGTTGACTTGCTTTTGAAAAAGACATGCCTGGGAAAAAAGCATTCCTTTCCTTCCTATACTCTTGTTTGTTCCTGTCTAGTTCGCTTGGTAAGAACATGATGCCTGGAGTTTGTGCAGTCATCACAGTCCTCATGCACATGAGGGGGAACTAGAAGATGAAAGAAATGTGCATCTAGAGGGCAGCTATCTTAGCTGTCCCTGGAACCTTTCCAATTCTAATCTTGTGAAATAATAAACCTCCTTATTTTGAAGACATTTTTGTTATATTTTCTGTTACATGCAGCAAAAGCATTTCAATACATTCACATATTGAACTCTAAATAATACTCTCAATATGACTTCTTACTCTCTTCACAACTAAAATAACTGAATGGGTGTTTTACCTGTACTTTTGTCTGCTCCTCATTCTATAGTCCACCCTCCACTCAACAGCTTGTGATTACACTCAAATGAGCCCCAACTCCATATCATGGCCTACAGGACTCTGCATGTGCTGGCTCCTGGCTACCTCCCTACTTACTCATTATGTTCAGCCCTACTGACCTCCTTCCTGTCCCTTGAGCATGTCAGGGTTGTTCTTTCCTCAAGTCCCTGTATTTGCTGTTCGTCCTCATATATTTACATGGAAGCTCCTCAAAACTTTTGTAATGATTTGAGAAGCTGTTTTCCCTAGGCTCTTATCTCTATATTCTTCCTCCTTCAGCTTCACAGGGTGGCCCTGTTTCCTCTACTTTGATTCTCTAGTCTTCTGTTCTTCCCTTTTTATCTTGAGCACTGCCTTTTATCATCTGGTTCTGTCCTATTTCTCCACCACTATGTGTGTGACCTGGTGATTTATTTAGTGTTGGGCCTGTATAGTGTTGAATCTATAATAGCTGAGCCCCCTTGGACATTTCTTCCTTCCTCTAGCCTCTCGACCTTGGTGGTTTCTGTTTCAGTTACTTCATGCCATGAAGTTGAACTTCCTATATGGCAACTTAGAGTTCCAAATCTAGTATCTTGAGAGAGAGAGAGAGATCCAGGTGGAAGCAGTGGTGCCTTTTCTGATTCAGTCTTAGAAGTCACATAGTATCATTTCTGCCACATTTCATTCTATTGGTTGAAGCTGTCACAGGGTCTACTCAAGTTTAAGGAGAAGGGCGTATAGACATCACCTCTTGATGAAAAAGGTGTCAAAGAATTTGTAAATACATTTTAAAACTGCAATTTGGTCTTAATGGTAGGAAATAATTATAAAAAGTAATTATAGCATGTAGAAAAACAGGATGATTTTCAAATGATGCAGTTTCTATATTTTTAATATTTCAGAAGCTTTAAATATGCTTTATGCATCTCTGGACCATGCTTCCTTTGATTATGATCATCTGCCTGCCTTATTTTTTGTTGCGGAATCGATTTTATACAGACTCTGTTGTGATGCATCCCTCAAAACGTATTTATATTCAGTTGAAATAAAGCTAGTAAAGGTATGTTTTGAAAAACTTCTTAATGTTCTTAAATATTTCATATACTACATGTAACAACATGACATCTGTTTTAGGATCAAAACAGAACATTTAGTTTTATTATAGAATATTCTTTTGTTTGGTAGTTTAATCTTCTCTAATTGTGAGTAGTACATTATTATTGCTTAATATCTAAATGGAGATAGTAGTTTGAGAAAATATAATTTCACAAACTACATAAGAAAATAACATTTCATTAAAAAACAATATACTTAACTGTTTTTCTAAGTGTATATATATATATATAGTTTTTGTTTTCTATTTTAAGGGCTTTTGAATGCCACCTCCTCTACCATTTAAAAATGCTAACAAATAACCCTAAATAACTGCCGAATTTGGGAAGCTTAGTTGTTCTTCTAATATTCTATGTAACTTTAGATCTATAAAATGAAAGACTCTTTTCAGGTAACTCATATTTTATAAGATCCTTGAGATCATATTGTTTCACTCTCGGTGATGATCATGGTTGACTGCTGTAAAATACATTGTTAGTCAAGTAAATATAGTTTAACTAATGGTTTTACTGCAAAGAGAGAAAAGAAAGGCTAAAAGTATTTCTTTAAGATGGTTTTATATATATATGTATACACACATATTTATATATATGAATGAAACAAATTAAATCAATGATGCAGAAATTGTTTTTTTAATTAAATTTTGATTATAAACTGTTAGAAATTGAACATGAGAGAACATTGATGAATCAGTCAATCAGTTGAACATTTTGGGGAGACAACCACATTTCAGTCATGTAAGTCAAGCTTAGATGCTCTCTGACACGTTTGGTAGTAAAAGACTTGTGGAGACCAGGCAAAAGTAGATACCAGGCAAAAGTAGATACAGAGAACACATAATAGAAATTAACTATGCAAAAAATTGAGCTTTGCATAGAAGGAGGATTGAAGAAAATACTCAAGATATTACCAATAACTGTCTTGGGATGGTGCGAGTATGATGATTTTTTTTCTTTTTTCTGTATTTCCAAAACTGTCTGCTAAAAATACGTATTTATATTTATAATGAAAACAATATATATATAAACATAAAATATATAAAATATAAAATATAAATATACATATTTATAATGAAAAAAGAAATGTAATAAAATTTTTTAAGTTGAATAAAAAAACATGGAGCAAGTCTGGCTTTTATCTCCTCTTTCTCATCTCCTTCAGTGACCTTTCTCCATTTCTTGCCTTTTGTATTTCTGCTAGCAAGAAAAAAATAGCTACAAAATATAGTTTTATGCATTGAGCATATTGCTTATACTTTGCACATGCCCTGTTATCTGCCAAGCCAATTTGTACCAGTTCTGATAGCAGCTGCAAACACTTAAACCTTACTTAACTATGTGCCTTACACAATGATAAGTGCTTTAAATATATTAGACACATTAACTTATTTTATTCTCACAACTATCCTAAGAGGATTATTCATAATTTCATATTCCACATCCGTCACTGTGGCACAGAGAGTTTTAAGTGACTTCCCCAAAGTCTAAGCAGAGAGAGTTTTGATATTCAGTGTGGTTCCGGAGTCCAGTGAACTCTCAGCTATGAAGCTACACATCTACCTTGGTTCTCAGATTTACTAATTTTTACCTTATTCTTTCTTCTATTGATATATAAATAGCATTTTAAATATTTATGAAGTACATGTTAGTGTCTGTTACATGACTAGTATGTATAATGATCAAGTCAAGATATTTAGGCTATCCGTCACTTTGAGTATTTATTATTTCTATGTATTTGCATCATTTCAAATCCTCTCTTCTAGTTACTTTGAAATATGCAAGGCATTGTTGGTAAGTATAGTCACCCTATTCTGCTATAAAACATTCTTTCTAATGCTATATTTGTACCCATTAACCAACTTCTCTTTATTTTCCCCTCCTATTTACCCACCCTTTTTGGTCTCTAATATCTATAATATTATTCTATTATCTTTGTCCATGAGATCAAGTCTTTTAGCTTCCACATGTGAGTGAGAACATGTGATATTTGTATTTCTGTGCCTAGCTTATTTCACTTAACATAATGACTCCCAGTTCCATTCATAGTGCTGCCAATGATATTTCATTATTTTATGGCCAAATTGTATTGCATTGTGTATATACAACACATTTTCTTTGTTGAATCACCCATTATGGATACTTAGGTTAATCATATCTTTACTATTGTGAAGAGTGCTCCAGTAAACGTGAGAGTGCAGGTATTCCTATAATACACTGATTTTCTGTATCTTCCTAAAAGATAAATGCCCACTAGTGGAATTGCTGGAGAGTATGGTAGTTCTGTTTTTAGTTTCTTAGAAAATCTAAACACTGTTTTCCTTAGTGGCTGTAATAATTTACATTGCCACCAATAGCATATGAGTTTTCTTTTCTCTATATCCTCTCCATCATGTGTATTTTTTTTTGTCTTTTTAATAATAGCCATTCTAATTGGAGTGAAATGATATTTAATTGTGGCATATGGTCTTTATTATTTTGAGGCATATTCCTTCTATGCATAGTTTAGAGACTTTTTATCATGAGGGGATGTTGAATTTTTTCTAATGCTTTTTCTGCATCTGAGATGATCATATGGTTTTTGTCCTTCATTCTGTTGTGATGTATCATGTTTATTGATTTGTGTATGTTGAATCATTCTTGAATCCCTGGTATAAATCCAACTTGAACATGTTGTATAATCTTTTTGATGTGCTATTGGATTCAGTTTGCTAGTATTTGGTTGAGGTTTTTTGAGTCTATGTGCATTAGAGATATTAGCCTATAGTTTTCTTTCTTTGTTGCACGTTTTCTGGTTTTGGTATTAGGGTAACACTGGCCTTGGGAAATGTGATAGGGAGATTTCCCTTGTCCTTAACTTTTGGGAATTATTTGAGAAGGGTTGGTATTAGTTTTTCCTTATCTATTTGGTAGAATTCAGTAGCGAATCCATCTAGTACTGCACTTTTCTTTTTTGGGGGAATCTTTTCGTTAATGATTCAGTCTTGCTACTCATTGGTATGTTCAGGTTCTGTATTTCTTCCTGAGTCAATCTTGCTAGGTCATATGTTTTCAGGAATTTATCCATTTCCTCTAGTTTTCCAGTTTGTTAGTGTATAGTTGTTTACAATAGTCTCTGATGATCTTTTGTACTTCTGTGGTATTAGTTTTAATATCTCCTTTTTCACTTTTGATTATGTTTGAGTGGGCCTTCTCTCTTCTTTCCTTGGTTACTTTAGCTAGCAGTTGATCAAGTTTATCTTTAAAAAACGTTTTCATTTTGTTGATCTTTTGTGTTGCTTTTTTAGTCTCCATTTCATTTATTTCTTCTTTGATCTTTATTATTTATCACCTTCTACTAATTTTGAGTTTGGTTTGTTCTTGCTTTACTAGTTCCTTGAAGTGCATCATTAGATTATTTGAAATCTTTCTGTTTCTTTGATGCAGGAATTTATTGCTATAAAAACCCTTCTTAACACTGCTTTTGCTCTGTCCCTCAGGTTTCAGTATATTGTGCTTTCATTTTCATTTGTTTCAAAACATTTTTTTAAATTTCCATTTTAATTTCTTCATTGACCCAGTGGTTGTTCAGAAACATGTTGTTTAATTTCCATGTATTTTTATAGTTTTCAAAGTTCCTCTTGGTGTTGATTTCCAGTTGTATTTCATTGTAGTCTGAGAAGATACTTGGTATGATTTTGATTTTAAAAATTTGTTGACTTATTTTTTGCCTAGCATATGATCTAACCTGGAGAATATTCCATGTACTAACGAGAAGAATGTACATTTTGTTGTTGTGTTGGGAAAAATATTATGTGAATATCTTTAAAGTCCGTTTGGTCTAAAGTCCAAGTTAAATACAATGTCTCTTTGTTGATATTATATCTAAATATGTCTCATGCTAACGGACGAGTGTTGAAGTTCTCCACTATTAATGTATTGGAGTCTATGTTTCTCTACAGATCTAGTAGTATTTGTGTTGTGAATCTGGGTGCTCCCCGTTGGGTGCATATATACTTAGAATTGTAATATCCTCTTCCTGGATTGATTCCTTTGTCATTATTTGATGTCCTTACCTTTTTTAAAAACCTTTTTTGACATAAAGTCTGTTTTATCCAACAGAAGTATAGCTACTCCTACTTGCTTTTAATTTCAATTTGTGTGGAGTATGTTTTTCCATCTCTTTACTCTCAGTCTGTGTCTTCACAGGTAAGGTGCATTTCTTGTAGGCAACATATAGTTAAATTATGTTTGTAAAAAAGTGTATTAAGCCAGCCTATATCTTTTAAGTGAAGAATTTATTCTATTTACTTTTAGGTTATTATTGATATGTGAGGTTTTGTTCCTGTCATATTGTTAATTGTTTTCTGGTTTGTAATAGTCCATTTTAACACTGCTATAAAGAAACACCTGAGACTGGGAAATTTATAAAGAAAAGAGGTTTAATTGACTCACAGTTCTGCATGGCTGGAAGGCCTCAGGAAACTTAACAATCATGGCAAAAGGCGAACGAGAAGCTGGGGCCTTCTTTACAAGGCAGCAGGAAAGGGAGAGCAAAGGGTGAACTTCCAAAGACTTATAATACCATCAGATATCTCGAGAACTGACTCACTATCACTAGAAGAGCATCTGGGAAACCATGTCCATGATTCAGTCACCTCCCTCCCTCAACACGTGAACCTCCCTTGACACATGGAGATTACAATTTGAGATGAGATTTGGGTAGGAACACAGAGCCAAACCATATCATGGTGGTTTTGTGTATTCTTCTCTTCTTTTTCTCTTATTGTTTTTCCTTGTGGTTTGCTAATTTTCTGTTGTGATACCATTTGAGTCTTTTCCTCTTTTGTGTCTTTGCTTTACTCACGAGTTTTACACTTTCATATGTTTTCATGATCATAACTATCATCTTTCCTCTTCCTGGTTTAGGACTCCCTTGAACATTTTTTGTAAGGCTAGTCTAATGATGATG